TTTGAACAATGAATTCAAGGTTTTTGAGAATATGAACAAGGTTTTGTAAATGGGAATGCAGAGTCATGCTAAAAACTTGATGTGTACAGTGGCATAGTAAGGATCCAGCCATCGACGGGAATTGGTCCGACCGAGGAGAATCGGTCCGACGATGCGGATGAATTGCAAATAAATAAGGCAGTCGGTTAGGGGATGGGTGAGGGAGAGTCTTTTCATGTTCCTTTTTCTTCTTACCCCCTCCTTCTTTCTCATTCTCCTTTTCCTTTCCGTTTCTTTTGCAACCGACTATTGGGGAGGGTGTGGAAGGGGTTCCTGCACCCCTCTTCTCCCTCCTTTTTGCTGTGTCGCTTATTTCTTTGTTCAATTATTTTGACACTTTTTGATGGCGAGGGAGGGGGGAGGGGGGTAAGCGCCCTACATGTCCCCTCCCCCCCCCCGCACCGTGGCTATGTCACTGACTCTGATTACACTTGTGTGCATGTTGTTCGAATGCAAGGCCTCAAATCCTATTCATATATCAACAAGAGGTATAGCAATAATATTTTGTAGACTGGGTATGAATTTGAACTTCAGTATTTCAGTATTTCCGACTGTCTGATTTTTCTATTGAGCTCACATTGTTCAAATCATGTTCAGCCTTATAATGGGGTATGAGAGAAGTAAATAATCATTGTATTTGTAAAGAAAAATTCTGTTTTCTTTGTTGTTTATTATACAATGAGTTCAGTTGGGTATCAGAAGTATAGGAATAACCACCAACATGGTTAGTATACCAAGCAAAGAGTAACGGGTTTGGTTGCATTACAAAAACGAAGATGCTCCCGTTCCTGGTGTTTGTATCGTTGTGATGACAGGTGATGATTGTGACTATGCTAATGATGACAGATCATGATGGTGATGATGATGAAGCTGATGATGATGGTGGAGGTGGTGGTGGTAGTAGTGGTGGTGATGATGACGATGATAATGATGACGAAGATGATAATGACATGTGATGATGACGATGATATGGGATGATGATGGTGATAATGCTGATGACGATGACGATGATGATGATGAAGATGATGAAGATGATGATGATGATGATGACGAAGATGATAATGACATGTGATGATGACGATGATATGTGATGATGATGATGATGATAATGCTGATGACGATGATGATGATGATGATGATGATGATGATGATGGTGATGATGATGGTGATGGTGATAATAATGATGATTTGTGATGGTGGTGATCATGATAGTGGTGATTATTATGATTACGATGATGATGATTAAAATGAAGCTGGTGACGGGTGATGATGATGAAGATGAAAATGCTAGTGTTCCAAACAGTTATATGTTATGTCATCTATAAGATTGATGATAATCATCTGAAAGGGGAGTGTACTTCATAACTTCATAAATTTAAATTTAAAAAATGTATTATAAATACTACTCGACTTCTCATTTCTCTCCATCTCTCTCTCTCTCTCTCTCTCTCTCTCTCACTCTCTTTCATTCTCTTTTCTCTCTCCCTCTATCGCTTTGCTCACGACACTCCCCCATTCTAAATGTTCTCTAATATACCCTTGTATCCAGGCGCGTACACAAGGGGGGGGGGGGGGGGGGTTGGGGGGTTAACCCCTCCCCTTGGTATTTTTCTATGTGTAAACCCCCTAAACCCCCCCCCCCCTTTGGTTTTTTTTTTTAAATAAAGCTAACCTCACCCCCCCCAACGGAGCAAAATGTCAAATTTTCAAATTTCGAGACTCTTACCCCCAAATCCCCCCCCCCCCCGCTTATTCAGCGGTCGGCTGAGTCGTTGCGATTTTTTTTGGGACAAAAACAAATCCTGCGTACGTGCCTGCTTGTATCCATTTTCTATGTTCCTAATTACACATCTTACCTACCAATCTATCTTTCTAACTTCCTATCTATCCATCCACCCATCCATCCATCCATTTAGTATTGACCTATCGATTTATCTCTTCTTTAAAGTTCCTCAATTCTCAACTGCATTTACATTTTATTACCAATCTTTGCCGAGTGATGGCGGTATACATGTTTGCGATGGCTCCAGTATTGCCCCCATTCCCGTCTATTTACTGAATTTACAGAATAAGAAATATAATTCCAGACTATGTGAATATTCTCGCATTTCAGTTTTCATATCAGATGCTAATTTTACAGAGCGAACATCAAATTTCACAGCTTGCAATCGTTATGCAAAGGAAATGGAGAGACGGTGAAGAAGTGAGGAGAGGTGCGTGATTGACAGAGAGAGAGAGAGAGAGAGAGAGAAAGAAAAAGAAAGAGAGCCAGAAAAAGACAATAAGAGAGAATCCAACATACCACATTAGTCAAATGAAGTATGATAATCGCAATCCACATATTTACAATTAATTCAAATATTTTGGCGGGAAAGCCAGATATAAAAAAAAAAAAAATCATTTTTTCCAATTTTGGAGTTGAATAATAATTATTGTTGTTGTTGATGATATAAGGTGAATATGTCAATGCATTCCTCGAAAAAGAAAAAAACGGGGGCCTATCGTGGGGGGGGGGGGGTAGCTGCCCCTGTCGTCAGCTTTAGCCACAAAACCATGTCCAATTTTAAAACTACATCCAAGAGTTAATAGAAAGGAGGCAAAGTGGTATCATGGATAGGCGACCGCCTGGTAATTGGAAGGTATCGGGTTCGATACCCAGTTAGTGCAATTTAATTTAAATTTACACTTTGAAACAAAAAGACTGATGTTATATGTTAACAACTAAAAGTGAACCAGGTAATAGAAGTGAGGCAGAATGATCTAGTGGATAGGCAATTGCCTGGTAACTTGAAGGTATCGGCTTCGACACCCAGCTAGTGCTTTTTATTTCTTCTTTTGCTACATCTACAACAATAATTAGTATAAATATGAAAAAATACATTGAGATTAGCAATGTGACACTTTAGTCTAGTGGATAGGCAATTGCCTGGTAAATGGAAGGTATCGGGTTCGACACCCAGCTACTCCTTTTTTTTTGTAAATCATTGAAAAAGAAAAACTGATGTTAAACCCATTGGTATGGGTTTTATGGGGACCTTTTGCGGGGGGGGGGGAGCAATGTAGAAAAAACTACAGTGGAGCCTTGGGCTTTTTTTTGGGGGGGGGGGTACAGACGCGGATCCAGGATTTCTTAGGGGGGCCCAAATAAAAATCAATTTGAAATTTAATCTGCTGAAATTTGAAAATCGTGCCGGCCGATATTTCTTTCAGTGAAGGGGTGGGGGGGGGGGGGGTGGGTAGTGAGCACTAATTTTTTATGGGGGGGCCCTCGAAAATGTGAAATCCAGGGGGGGCCCATCTCCCAAAAAAGATAAACATTAGGCGTGTTTTTAAACGTTTTTTCCCAGGGGGCGGGACCCCCAGCCCCCCTCCCCTGGACCCGCCACTGGGGGTGGGGGGGGGGGCTAGCTGACCGCCCCACCCTCCCCTGGCTAAAAAAAAAAAAAAAAAAGGGGGAAAAAAGAAGGAAAAAAAGAAGGGGGGAAAAAAGAAGGGGAAAAAAAAGGGAAAAAAAAGAAGGAAAAAAAAAGAAGGAAAAAAAAGAAGGAAACAAAAAAAGGAGGAAACACAGAAGGAAATAAAAGGGGAAAGATATCAAAGTTATCAAAATATGCTCATCTGACCGTAAATAAATGCCTAAAACCCCTTGACTTCCGGTGGCTCTGACCCCTGGACCCCACCTAGGGCCCTAAGGCGGACGGCTGGCTGCTAACCTGACGGTCACTTAATGCTTAAAACCCTGAGCTTCTGGGGTATCGGCCCCTGGACCTCACGCCAATTAGTGTCCTGCCAGTGTCACAAATAAGGTATCAAAATATGTTCATCTGATCGTAATTAAATGCCTAAAACCCCTAAGTTTTCGGGGCTCCACCCCCTCGAAAACACCAGGGGCCCTAAGGCGGGCCCCTGCATGCTTGTCTGACCGTTATAAAATTCCTAAAACCCCGGAGCTTCTGGTGGCTCCGCCCCTTGTACCCCCACGCCAATTAGTTACCTTCCAGTCTCACAAATAAGGTAGAATTATGCTCATCTGACGCAATTAAATGAAAAAAAGAGCCATGAGCTTCCGGGGCCTCTCCCCCCCCCCCCCCCCCCCGAACCAAACCAATGGCCTTAAGGCAGGCCCTTGGATGCTCATCTGACCGTTATCTATTGCTCAACACCCCCTGAGCCTCTGGGGGCTCCGCCTCCTGGACCCCACGCCAATTCGTGACCTGCCAGTGTCACAAATAAGGTATCAAAATATGCTCATCTGATCGTAATTTATTGCCCAAAACCCCTGACCTTATTTGTGACACTGGCAGGTCACGTCAATTCGTGACCTACCAGTGTCACAAATAAGGTATACAATTATGCTCATCTGACGATAACTTGATGTATGAACCCCTGAGCTTCTGAGGGCTCCGCTCCCTGGACCCAACACCAATTTGTGTCCTGCCAGTGTCACAAACTAGGCATCAATATAATTCTCATCGGCAGTAACCCCGAGCGCTCTATCCGTCGCTGAGCGAAAACTCGATATCTCTCTCGGAGCTCCTGATACCGATCACGTCAAAATATGATGTTTGATTATTTTGTACACATCTGCTTCTTCTTCCATAATATAAAAGTTAGCTTATATAGCAGACTTATGTTTATGAATGTCAGTCGACGTAAAAAGATGAGAGAGAGAGAGAGAGAGAGAGAGGGGGGGGGAGGGGGAGGGGTGGAAGGGTGGAGAATCGAACAGAATGTGTAATAACGTCATTGAAAGTCTCAAAAATCTAACAAAAAGTTAGAAAAGGAAGTTTTAAAACAATTTTCCTGCTCCACGTTCTTCACTTCTTCCTCTTTTCCTTCTTCAGCTCTCTCTTTTTCTTTTTCTTTTTGCTCTTCTTCTTCTCCTTCTCCTCCTTCTTTTGAGAAATTTTCGAGGCCTTACTCCTGACCTTACAAAATATTCTTTGAATTTAGATAGTATTGCATTCAGATCTGTTTCTTATTTAATATGTATGTTCCTCAATCTTGTGAAAAATTGATGAGGAATCAAGCTTCTCGTTTTATGTGTATTGTGATCCTTTGTTTGAGTCTATCAAAATTTGTACTTTGAATTGTTTTATTCTAATTTGTTTTCACTGTGTTATTGTCGAGACAACAATTTTTTTGTTCGTCATCCTGACCTCCTGGGGCCATTTCAGAGCTCTCACTTCCGGAAACTGGATTTCTCTTTGTTTGTTAATTCATGAGTTTCCCGTACTTCACTTGGGTTTCAACTCATGTTCTTGTTGCTAATGTCAATATACACCAAACATTGTCGATCTGTGCAAAAATTCGAGGCCAGTCCAATTAAGTCAACAGACAGTATACTATTGACTTATTCAATCTGAGTCAGAATGTACCGCAAATTATGACATTTAATGGACTTTAGAGAAACTGGTGACCAAGGTTTTTCTAAGAATTCAGACATTACGTTTTGAAGGTACTTTCAAACATGTTATGAAAGAAGTTGCATTATTCAATTTATCTTACACATGCAGTGTTAGGGGAACAGGTCCCTTACAGTTCTTCAGAGAAATGGTGAAATTATCCGAATTTATGACACTTTCGATATTAATCTGAAGAATTATTGGCGTATCGATGTCGTGGAAAGAATAGCTCTATATTTACAGATACCATCATAACGAACAGATAAATTCCACCGGAATTCGAAATTCCATATCATTGTCACCATCTATACAACAAAATTCCCCTAAATGCAATTGACTGACTTTCCAAAAGGTATCTGAAATACTAATAGTTTGATAATGATTTTCAAGTTTCTATTATTTAATCCATATTGTTGATTTTATGTTGTTGTAATGTATTTTTTATTTCAAGATTTATCTCTTCCTTTCTTGATATTTTCTAAAGCCTTCACTCGAAACCACTTTTCATCTTCAACATGGTTTCACCAGGTCCACAAAATCCCTCAAAAACGCCAGTCCAGTCAGCATGTGAACATTTAAACCTTTAAATAGACGGTTTAGTTCTGGTTTTGATAAAAAGTTATGAGCTTTCTAATTGTTATCAGTTGTAAGAAACTCATAGCAGAAATGACCCCTGAAAAGGAATGCTCTTCAGATGCCCTCATATTTGAAATAGGACGAGATATAGCTGAAAAGTTTGCACAAAACTTTCAGCAAGATTAAATCATTTTAGTCATTTAAAAAGTCTCGCAGTATATATATCAATTATCATGTTTATTACATAGGCATTACATAATTTCTATGTTGTACATAAGGAATCGACCTTTCGAACTTGCTGCCAGACAGTTTTATGTCAAATCGTAATCGCATAACAAGTGCTCCACTTCCTTTTTAAACATAATTTTGACGGAGGCCATTGCTGTTGAATTGGTGGTCACTGGGGTAACCTCAAAACACTAATTACCTACGTAAAACCTAGTAGGTCATGGTCGCCAGTGTTGTGTTGGGTTAGGTCACAAAGGAAATATATTTTCCCTCGGTGTTTAGCCTCAAATCTTTAGATGAGCTATACAGGTTTTTCATGGAAGAACAGTCGAAATACATTTCAGTTTTCCAGAAAAAACATGCAAGTCGGTCCTTGAAAGGACCGCTGGTTAATCTCTCTTGCATGCAGTTCTTAGAATAAACTTTAAATGGCAGATACAGAATATAAGACAAGTGGGAGAAGTATACATATAGGTAGTTCAATGAACTGACTTTTTTCTTCTTTAGTGAGTTCTGAAAAGAACGATTTGTTTCTAAAAGAATGAGTTGGTTCTTTTCAAGATATAATAACAAGAACAAGCTTATTGATGTTTTAGGTAAAGCTTTATTGGGATTTAAACCTTAATCTTAAGTGTGCTCCGTGGAGCTATACGTCACATTCAGAATTTAACTTTTAAGTACATTATTAGATGGACTGCCTTGGTGTATACAAAGAACTACAACATACGTTCATAAGTTTTATGTCTCTTTGATATAGGGACAATAGATTTATTGGTAGTACAATAGACTTTAACCCCGTATGTAGCAGCCATCAAGTCAAACAAAATTGTTAGACCAAACAGGAGCAGGCATTGTGTTTATCGCTCAATCTACAACCAAACTGTACTTTAATCGGAAGTGTGAGGGAAGAACAAAGTACGTGTAGAGTCCAACAAAAGTCAAAAGTTCTGAAGCTTTCAGGAGTCCCTAGAGAAAACGATTGAACCCGTGTTGCATGACGGATGACGCAGAGTTGCACTGCTATGAAACGTCTTTAATCACGCAAAACTTTTCTCCGAAAGCGCGGCAAAAGACATCAAGTATTTCTAGTCGTCAGGCAGACGTGCTTTGTGCTCAGTCTCATCATCATTTGAGACATTTTTGTGAGCGGGACATTAAAAAGTATAATTGAGAGAAATGTCTGCCAAGGCAGTCGTGATCTGCCTCTTGTTGGGTCTGTTAAGTGGGGTGCAATCAGCGGCTCACGGACGCCTGAAGAACAAAGGGGTACGAACCAGGAGCTGCGTCGTGACAGACTTCGAAGTCCACGACGACTTCGACGTCCAACGGGTAAGAGGAAACTGGAGGTCATCTTGACAATTACTATGTTTATTATTATGATAATATAGGGCCTAAAAATGTATGAATCATAATTAGAATAGTGATTATCGGGAGTGGTGGATGTCTCATGGTTAAAGTCAGATGAATTAGTGGTGGTGGTGGTAGTGGTGATGATGATGTTAATGGTGGTGGTAGTGGTGTTGTTGGTGGGAGTAGTATGATAGTGATGATGGTGTGGTGGTGATGATTGTGGTGGTGATGATGGTGGTGGTGATGATGGTGATGATGGTGGTAGTGGTGATAATGGTGGTGATGATGACGGTGGGTTGGTGGGGTAGTAGAGGTAGTGGTTGTGATGGTGATGGTGGTGGTGCTGGCTATAGTGGTGGTAGTGGTGACGGTGATGATGGTGATGGTGGTTGTAGTGGTGGTGGCCGTGATGCTGGTGATGGTTAGGATATTGATGGTGGTGGTAAATGCATGTGATTCAGAAAATATCGGGAGATCATAATTGTTCCCATTTCTTTCTTTGGCGTTACTAAATAATTATCAAATTAATTAAATGGCATAACATGACGTTTTAGATTCAGAATGACTCTGTTTCAGCTACATCAAGTCTATCCATGTATAATACAGATTAATGAAGGTATGGCAATGTCAGGTTAGCTCGACTAGCTGACCCATGTATCTTGTTTTCAAACGGTAATACTTCCCCTCGCTTCGTGTAGCAAATAAAGCAACACTAACACGATAAAACAATCATTCGTGTTCCAGAATATTCTTGTATCGATTGTCCAGGACCACAATACCAGAACACTTTATTATTTTGACTTATTTTTAAACTCTCAACTGCCCTTGCACAAGTTGCACCGTTGACCAAACAGTCAAACTAAACATCACTGGTGTTGAAAATAATAATCCCTTTTTTGGACGGTCAGTTGACCCCTTTGCAATTGGCACACTTTATATTTTGAGATTTTCATTGTTTTCAGGAAAATAATTAGGTTATCATCATAAATGTGGAATGACAATAGCAGATCCACCACTACAAATAGATATGGTCAGTTAAAATTGATCTATTAACGTGCGTGTAGCTAATACCGATTTTATTATAATTACGATTCATGTTTGATGGCATGAGGAATAATTATTAATTGCTCCAAAATCCTGTAATACCACATTTTCATTATTTCTGTGCAAAAAAAACAAACAAAAAAACAAAAACAAAAATCGTTATTTTTATGAAATGACGACGTCGACGATGATAATGATGAATGATGATGATGATGATGATGATGCTGTCATCGTCATTGTCATCGTTGTAGTTGTGTTGCTGTAAATTATTGTGATGTGCTCAATTTCTTGTCTGATAATGTCGTATTAGTATATAGGGTATAAATTTAGTATATGAAAACAAATTTTATGAATCGCATTACTATTTCGTCCTATATATATATTTTATCTTAACTGTTCGCCAAAGAGCTGGGGACAAAGCTTCTTTAGCTTTAGCTTTACAAAATGTATTGGAATATCGATGAACAAAAAGTGGGCAAATCTCACTAATGATCCGAGCAAATAACCACCGACATCGGGTAAATAAGGCAAAATCGCAGTGTAAATACTTCTTGTGAGTTTCTGGAAACACAAACCCTTAAGTAATTTCACTGTTTATGCTAAATGTATGCAATAACACGTGATCGATACAAGACTGAGTCAACGTGATCTATTTAATTTTCCTGGGCCTATCCAGGTTTTTGTATAAAAAAAGGGCACAATTCCGCAAATTTCTGATAAGCAGAAAAATTCTGACAACCAAACGTTAGTCTTGAAATACATATAAAAAAATAGATTGGCCGAATTCTAATGAGTGAAAATTCACTCTATGTTTTTATATAATTGTTTTTTTTTTAAGGGGGGGGGGGGGTCTGTTAAATATCCGTTTTATATGCATGCTGTGGATTAGACTGCTTTAAAAAAAAAAGAATGTGAACCCATCGAAAGGACATATATAATGCGTCAAACAGACTTGACACCCGGAACCTGTCCCAAATTTTACCTCATAATATGCTAGCGCCAGAAGGGCATTAACGTATCGTTTTACACAGAGTTAAATCCCTTCTGCTTATGGCTCCAAAACAAATATGGTGAATGTAATGTGAACTTCTGGGGGCGGAGGAGATGGGTGGTACTAGCAACAGGTTAGTAACAATGTTTTCCCGACAATTATGTTTAGGGGGCGGAGTAAATGTATTTACTGGGGACTCTTTGCCCCTATTTCTTCCGCCACGGTGTACTATTTTTTCTGATGCTTTACGTGAAATGTATATCATTGCTTTTCGATTCAACTGTTACTTCCCTCCTTTTCTCACTTAAATATCTCTCCACCTTTTAATGAAATAAATTTATCTTTATATTACATTTTACTTTTTTCTTCCCTCCCCTTCTCACTTATAATACACCTCTCCACTTTTCAATAAAATAAATTGCTGTTTATTTAACAAATATTTTTTTTCCTTTCCCTTCTTCTCCCCGCCCACCACCACCCCTCTTCTCACTTTCAATACACCCCTACGGCTTATAGTTTTTACACTTCATTAAACAAAAATATCTTCTCTTCTTTTGTTCTCTATTTTATCCAACTTCCACAATAGGCGGTGTCACACAGAGGTCAAAAATCCAGATTTTAGTTATCCGGATTTAGTTATCCTTGCTGTCTGTCATCAATTATCCCGTTAAAAATCCTCTAACGAAGCATCACTTGAAAGGATTTTCAAGGGATTTTTAAGGGATTTTTCTGTGTGACACCACCTTATGTCTCTCCGCCTTCTTATGAAATAAATCACTCTTTATTTTACACAGATTCTCTCCTTTTCTTCTCTTCCTCCCTTCTTAACTGCCAATACCTATATCCGCCTTTTAATGAAATTAATCGCTCGTTGTGTTACATATGTTTGTTATTTTCCTTCTACCCCCTTTCTAACTTCCAATACACGTCTCAGTCTTTTATTTTTATGAAGTAAATTGCTCTTTATTTTACATATCATTTATTTTTCTTTCTAGTATGTCGGAACTTGGTACACCATATCTCAGAGTGGAGAAGCGCCCAGCTCCTTTCATCGCAGATCGCATTACAGCTTACAAGAAAATGGCGTCCTCGCCATGACGACACGTCGAGTTTCCCCGTAAGTCTTTCCTCTCTATCCCTTTAAAAATGGATGATCTAGAAGTGTTTGAAGCAGTGGCTAAGCTACAAAGAAACGGGGGCACGGGGCATATCCCCTCCCCCCCCCCAAAAAAAAAAAATGGTGAAAAGAAATGGTAAAAGAAAGAGAAAGCAAGAAAGAGAGAAAAGGAAATGGAGAAGGGGAAATAAAGAAGACACCGGGAGCACCTCCCGCACTTTCTCCACAATATTAATAGCCTTGAAAATGACTGGTCCCTTCCACCACCTCCCTAAAATAAACAACAACAAAAACAACAACGTTGCAGTTGTTGTTGTTGTTGTAGGTAATAGTTTAATGGCGTTCATTCAGTATTCAGTCATTGAATATATACGCCATATCTTTAATTTTATAAGGAAAATCAGTTATAAATAAGAAAACTGAGGATACAGATTTGTAGTGATATAATTAATTAATCAGTGACGCAATTTATTAGTAGTCTATGGATGGTTGCAACGTTGCAATGCACCCTCAATGAGTGGACTCATACTACGCTTCTGGTCTGTGGTATATCTTCTCCACCATGGTAGTTATCATCAGGCGCGCCGGAAGCAGTTTGGGATTGGGGGGGCAAACATTCCAGGGGGCTCACCTTCCAGGGGCAGTGACGTAACGAGCAAAAACGTTTGAAAGGGGGGGGGGGGGGGGCAGAAGAAAAATCTGCATCACCATCACTCTTACACGTTACATGAAGGACAGGCCCCGCGGAACGTTTTCAAAGTGGATTATTAACAATCAGGTAGAGCGTAAAATGGCGTGGGGTCCAGGGCCTGGGCCCAACCCCGGTAGGGGGTCAAGGGGCTGAGCCCCCAGAAGTTTAGGGGTTTTAGGCATTAAAATTATGGTCAGATAAGCATATTTAGATACCTTATTTGTGACACTGGCAGGCCACTAATTGGCGGAGAGTCCAGGGAGCAGAGCCCCCGGAAGCTCAGGGGTTTTAGGTCTTTAATAACGGTCAGATGAGCATACAGGGGACCGCCTTAGGGCCCTTGTGGGGTCTGGGGGCGGAGCCCCCGTAAGCTCTGGGGTTTTAGACATTTAATTACGGTCAGATGAGCATCCAGGACCCCCGCCTTAGGGCCCTTGGTGGGGTCCAGGGGGCAGAGCCCCCGGAAGCTCAGGGGTTTTAGGTATTTAATAACGGTCAGATGAGCATACAGGGGACCACCTTAGGGCCCTTGGTGGGGTCTGGGGGCGGAGCCCCCGTAAGCTCTGGGGTTTTAGACATTTAATTACGGTCAGATGAGCATCCAGGACCCCGCCTTAGGGCCCTTGGTGGGGTCCAGGGGGCAGAGCCCCCGGAAGCTCAGGGTTTTAGGTATTTAATAACGGTCAGATGAGCATACAGGGGACCACCTTAGGGCCCTTGGTGGGGTCTGGGGGCGGAGCCCCCGTAAGCTCTGGGGTTTTAGACATTTAATTACGGTCAGATGAGCATCCAGGACCCCGCCTTAGGGCCCTTGGTGGGGTCCAGGGGGCAGAGCCCCGGAAGCTCAGGGGTTTTAGGTATTTAATAACGGTCAGATGAGCATACAGGGGACCACCTTAGGGCCCTTGGTGGGGTCTGGGGCGGAGCCCCCGTAAGCTCTGGGGTTTTAGACATTTAATTACGGTCAGATGAACATCCAGGACCCCGCCTTAGGGCCCTTGGTGGGGTCCAGGGGGCAGAGCCCCCAGAAGCTCAGGGGTTTTAGGTATTTAATAACGGTCAGATGAGCATACAGGGGACCGCCTTAGGGCCCTTGGTGGGTCCGGGGGCAGAGCCCCCGTAAGCTCTGGGGTTTTAGGCATTTAATTACGGTCAGATTAGCATCCAGGGCCCCGCCTTAGGGCCCTTGGTGGGATTCCAGGGGGCAGAGCCCCCGGAAGCTCGGGGGTTTTAGGTATTTAATTACGGTCAGATTAGCATCCAGGGTCCCGCCTTAGGGCCCTTGGTGGGATTCCAGGGGGCAGAGCCCCCGGAAGCTCGGGGGTTTTAGGTATTTAATTACGGTCAGATGAGCATACAGGGGACCGTCTTAGGGCCCTTGGTGGGGTCCGGGGCGGAGCCCCCGTAAGCTCTGGGGTTTTAGGCATTAATTACGGTCAGATGAGCATATTTTGGCGTGGGGTCCAGGGCCTGGGCCCCGGTAGGGGGTCAAGGGGCTGAGCCCCCAGAAGTTTAGGGTTTTAGGCATTACAATTATGGTCAGATAAGAATATTTAGATACCTCATTTGTGACATTGGCAGGTCACTTATTTTTCTCTCTCTCTTTCTTTCTTTTTCTCTGTAACAAATTTTTCAACAATTGAGGGTGGCACGAGTCCCCGAGCCTGGCCGTTCTGCAGACCCTAACATAAATGCTTCTAAATAAGCATATTTTTCGCCCGACTGTAAACTTGGGAATTTCTAATTTTCCATCAAACGCATAAAAAGGTATGACTTACAAAAAAAATGAGAAAATATACCGGAAAATCATGTCATTTCAGCAACATTTGTACATCACTGGTATCGAATAAAAAAAATACCCCCCCCCCCCATCAGTACGCCATCGTTCAGGGGCTCATAAGCTTCTCACCCCTATAACAAAAACAGACACGCTTTCCCATTCTCTCGCAATATGTCCACGATATGCGCGTATCGCTATTATAAAAACCTACATTGATAAATATAGGTAGCATAAGCAATGTTCAGGAAATTTAATTCCTGTTAACTTTCCTTTTCTTTGAATGGAATTTCATACGTCATTTAATTCAGGTTTTTATTATTGTTATGTTCTTTTGGGTTAAAAATACAAACCATCTTTACTCGTTTACTGCTTTTTTTTTTTTTTGAGGGGGGGGGGGGGGCGTTTTGGGGGGGCAAAAATGCGTTTTGCCCCCCCACTTTTGTGATTGGGGGGGCAGCTGCCCCCCCTGCCCCCCCACTTCCGGCGCCTATGGTTATCATTGATGGCAAAGTTACCATCAATGGTAAGTTTTGTGCAACAGGGCCCAGTGTATTCAAGATGCATGGGTCGGCATTTTTCTGTGTAACACCGCCTTATTAGGATTTAAGAGAGACAAGGGGGGGGGGTGGTCGAATTTACAAATAGTGTACCCTCCTCATCTCATGATTAAGTTGAAAACTCGTTTCCATAGAAATCAACTTTTGACCAATCACAAATCATGAGCTTTACGATACCAATGCAGTTTGATATCGTGTAGTTTCTCGAATGTCGTCCATCGCCAGCCTCGGCTAGACACGCGCAGCTGATTCTTTTACTTTTTAGAGGTGATGTATTCCAGCCTTCACATAAATTTAGAAATATCTATGTTGTCCATACGATCCTAACTACTACATAACACATAATGCTACATAATTTTACCATTTATCTATTTGTATAAGTAGCTGCAGCTCGATGATCATGGACAGATTCGAGGATCTGTTTTAGTCTACAGTCCCATTAATTAGATATTTTGTTTGTTCGATAGATCGGCGCTAGCGCTAGTGTATTTTTCGTATCAATTTTGACCCCTAACTCCTGCGTGGAGATACGCTACTAAAAACATACCAAAATCGTAGAACTATGAGTCACAAGTCCCTCTTTGAAATATAAAACCCCTTTTTTCATGATATTTATTGCTCCTTTGTCCTTTGAAAATCTAGCTTTTTGGGGGTCAAATCTGTGATGTGAAAACATTCAAATGTTTGTGAACATAGACTTCTACATAGACCTCTACCGGTACCCGAAAATTACCTTCTTTTTTGCAAAATTTCTCACTATCATGACACCCCATCAATATGGATTGACATCACTGGATAGGTTTGAGATCTAGATCACTTACTTGCAGTGAAACTTTGTTTACAGGCAGAATGGCTGTACCAGTGGGATGGAGTTTGTGGCGGATGCCCATGTCCCGGAAGGTTCAACGACCCCCTCCAAGCTGCTCCTTCAGCCACGAGGAATGTCTGTGCCCGCAGGTAAGTGAGGGTGAACTTTTATTAATTGACACACTTCCATACTTAGCATTTTGAATGGGGAGGGTGGGGGGAGGATTTTTTACTTGCTGAAATGTTAAATGTGGATGTATGAAAAACTATCTTCAAGCGTGAAGGGGACACACACAAGCTCAAAAGCTTTTGCCCCGCATGCTTTTACTTGATATAAGAGGGGATGCACTTGCACCCCTCCCCATGGGCCTGTCGACACGTACTTGTAGGAACACCTCTGTTTCAAATACAGGAGCACTTTGTAGAACTTCTTTGGTACAAGCAAGATCACATCTATATTTGTCTATGTACCTGTTATGGGAACTGGATGAGTCTTGTATTAAGTCTATGAGAAAGAGAAAATTCATTAGTCAATGGGTAAAACACTATTAAAAGAGGAAGGTCATCATTTATCTCAGTAAATTAGGAAGAGATGTAGACACTCAAACACCTTGTGGAACGCCATTCACAAATTTCTTAATCAAAGTCTTATGTTGCCAAGTTTGCAAAGAATTCGTCCTTGATGGCTTAAGTTTATATATATCATTGGGTTGTTTAGTACATTAAATTTCAATATCCTTGGGCCAGGGCTATGGGCATTCTTAAATTCTATTATGATAATAATGATCTATACAGGGAAAAAATTAATATTTATTTTTCGGGGCTACTTTTCAAGCTTGCCTGCATGAAAATAACATTCTAAAATTTGTTTTGCATTGAACTCTATGCAAATTTACAGGGGCTCTTTTCTGATTTTCGGGGCTCTTTTAGGCATTTCGGGGGCTAATTCGCCCCGAGCCCCGTGTATTTTTTTCACTGGATCTATAATATGCACCTTTATGATCTAACATGTATACTTGTATGCCTGGAAAGGAGATACGGTAATTGGTAATTACTGTTATTATTCTTGAATGTACTGCAGACAATGAAATAAAATCCATAAAATAATCTTCTCTTAAATTTTTCACTTCGTCTATTTGGGGCCAAAAGGGTGTTAACTCATATATACTTCAACACACAAAGTCTCAACAGACAACATCGGCATCCAAGTACTGAACATATCAAGCTCAGCAATTTCACACAACATTAAAAGTCGCATGTTTCCTTAAAGGTGAAATTCAAAGAAAATCACAATATGTCAACTAACGTATCGCTAGAAACTGGTAAGCTAACAGATGGCCATCGTACAAGTTTAAGGTCAACTACATATCGGGTGATTTATAAAATACAAATACAACAACCACCTCTATAGCAGCTGGGATATACGAGATTCGCCAGAAAAATAACGATGTTTTAATGACGTCACTATATGGACCGATACTGCCCAAGCAAACGACATCCCGTAAAGAATGAACATAATTGCAAAGCTATTATTTGTCAAATTATAATGAGTTTAGTGTATATAAATGTAATGGCATGTCAAACCATTCAAAAGGGGATATGACCCAATTCTGATAACTAAAATCTTTTGCTTGTAAATGCACATGATAGGGGTTAATTAACAATCAAAGAAACCAGACTTTCAAATTGAAAATCCCCCGGAATGATACTAAGGACGGCATTTGTTCCCTCTTGGAAGGCCGAACATACCACGGTGTGTGCAGCTGAATATACAATGGCATCTTATTTTGTTTATAAGCGACAGATTCCTTTATTTTTGTATCACTGCATGTGTCATCAAAATTAAACCATGCGCGGGTTTAGAGTGAGGCAATAGATTATACATTTAGCCTGACGGTAGTGAAGTAAGAAATATAACTCAAGAGAAGATGAAAACACAGGCACTGAAAATGTGTGAGATGTCATGGGACATCGTCTGCTTGTGCAAACCATGTCCATACTGTGATCTCACACATCTCAGCGGCGTTTGGTGAGCTCTTTAGGTGCTATGCCGGGGATGTATTTAAGCGTTTTGTAATTTATAATAATCATTACTTTGAATGTTTCCAAGCATTGAATTTTGATAACCTTGTCGAATCAAAGTTTCAACTTTGCAATAATGAACATAAAATTATTTATTAAATTCAATGAATATCTACTTTAAGATTTTGTGCAGTTTCCTCTGGAAGTTGTCAGTATTGTCTTAATCCATGGCAATCCCAGGAAGTAAAGACATACATCCGTTCTCACATCAATTGTTTGGCAAAATGTCAAGGGATCAAGAAGTAAAAATCTACCCTTTTGTAGCTTTTTAACCAACAATTTAAATTAACAGGCAATTTAGCACATGTTGAATTCTTATCACTGTCTACTTATTATTTTTTATGCCTGCTAGTGCCATTTTCATTACATCTTTTTTCCTTCTTTTAATGCATTAGAAAGTTAGATTAAAGAGCTTATAGAATAAGTGTTGTGATGCAGTATTTTATTCAGCTATATTTTATGAAATTGTGAACATATTTCCTTGCCCCAATCATTCACATCTTTGTCCCTTTTGTCAACTGGTGTTGTATGTATATCGCCCACCCAAAGCATTCCTAGATTATTTTATGCTCCATAAACATGGTGTTCAAGTCTTCGCCTAGTTCCTTTAAAGCCCCACTGCACTACTTATAGCTACTTGTGCCCCTTACATAGCAAACAATGCCTAATCAGTGCCTGTTGGTCCCCCATGATCCTCTTTTTCTTATGTTAATTGAGAGCTGATTTGATGAGATAACCACCTGTCAGTGACCTTGCAGCGAGGTCTAATCCCCTCTGGCCAAACTAGTACAGCCGGCCTTTAACAAATATTGTTCATTGTCATCCTCCTCCATCGATTCCCCCTCGCTCTCTCCCACAAACACAGAGGACTACTGGGTGATATACACAGACTACGTGGACCACGCCTTGGTCTACAGCTGTTCCCAGAGGAACGAGGATGGGTCCTGTCCCGAGGATAGAGCTCGGGTGTGGTTCTTGGGGCGGGCTGGAACACTGTCGGTAGATGCACGTCATCACATGGAGTCCTTGCTCTCAGGCTTGTGTGTGGAGGTCAGCAGGATGCAGGATATTTCTACAGGTGAGAACGGGCAGTGATAAAAATATCATGTAAGAATTGGAAAACTAAACAGGGAAATATTGCACGCGGTAGGGTTTAAAAAACAAACACCCTTAGGTGTAAAAAAATATGTTGTATTGTCCTTTGAGAACTACCCAAAAATCTTGAAATCTATGATCGGCTTTTTAAAAAAGTTTTTTTTTTTGGTTACAGTTTTTTAGAAAAAAAGCTGGGACCTATCCTGAGGATAGAGCTCAGGTGTGGTTCTTGGGGCGGACTGGAACACTTTCGGTAGATGCACGTCATCAAAACTGAGAAATATAAGCCCAAAGAGGGAACAAACAAAAATTTCCGACCCATGTTTTGGCACCTAAAGGGCAATAAAACATCTTCTTTTTTTAGGCCTTAATCGTAGAGAAATTTAAAGAAAGAATGGCAAAATACTTTGGTCACATCACAGTGTTTTGTCAGATTTGTTGGAAGGTAAACTAGAAGGTACTTGTATTACTACTAGACCAAGAGGGAAGCGAGGAACCAACTGGGAAGAGGTCTTTAAGGCCAAAAGAACAAAATTGCTTCTGGCAAATCATTTTCTTCTATGTTCAAATGAATGGAGAATAGGGGTGAGAAAAGTTGTTCCAGAACACGTTCTGCTCTGCTTTCGATTTCTAACACTAATAAAGTTTTAACTTCTATCCTGGAGCTAACTTTATCCCTAACCTTAACCTAACCTTAACATAACACTTGATTGCAGCATTAACCATTACCCAAAGTATTAGTGAAATAAAGCTTGGAGAAAATGTTACCTCGGCATGTTTGTGGCTACCACAGGGTAGCAACAAATACCATAAGTGCATTTACTTATCTGTGTTTAAATATGAAGTGTACTGTAGATACTTGTATCATTTTATTTTTCTGTTGCTGATCTTTTTATGCCGTATCCCTTATATTAAAGGTAAAGACCAGTATTGGAAACGCCCCAATTTCAAAAAATGAAAGGGAAGCTCTTTATTACCAATCATGTGAAAGAATATGTTTTGACTAATACATGATGATAACATTTTTGCCGAGAAACCGCCTACTTGATTGATAATTGATATATTTGGTAAATTAGTTTATCTAATGGACTGTAAGAGATAAACGCACATGTCGCGCATGTGTGTGTAGTCCCATATACATCTTTCTGTGTACAGTGCTTGTAATTTTACGAAGACTGGGCCAAATTTTCTTATCATTTTGATGATTCCAGAACCTTGCAGTACACACCAATATTTATATGCTAGATGATCAACCTTTTCTGATCGATTCCACAACGTTTCTTTCACAATGCAATCGCATGACCATAACTGGTCTTTATCTTTAATGTGTGAAAAAAATCCTGAAGTTAATTGGGTTCAATGTTCAAAGTTTGTTTGCTCACAAAATAGTTAAGCTCCACATGAACTGTCATCGAGCTGACATACTTTTAAAAAAGCCTGCAAATGATATTCAATTGGATGAGTGATTGGCCTGTATAAAAGCCAATCTTCCAACTTTTCAGTGTCATAAAGATGACATCAAATAAAAAATCAAAGTTAGTAATGATATGCATTTTATCTGTATGAATAAGAATTGTATAAATAAACAAGCTTGGATGAAAAGATACTCAGTAGTTTTGACCAAAATTTTGACAATTGTTACCTCAAATCTTACTTTTCAAAGACTATGTAAACTTCCATATACTGCAGTTAAGAAAAGTGAATGATAACGGATTGAAAAGTGCTGTATATATGCAACTTTGATAAGTATTGTTTGGAAATGATTAAGTTATATGTCTATACATTTTTTCATCAAACAGTCTGTTTTGAGAATATATATATATTTTCAAGTAAGTGTAGGTACAAATATGGAAAGCAAAGTTTCTCATAATAATATTTCTGCGTCTATTAAAGTAGTGAAAAGGGGTTCATGAAATGAAATGTGTGTTAACAGTTGTATATACTGTACATTATGTATCATTATACCGGAGTGTTGGTTCAGTCAGTAGAGCGTCCGCCTTACAATGGGGAGGTCGTGGGTTCGAACCTCGGCCGCGTCATACCAAAAGACATTAAAAGACGGGAGTTGCTGCTACCTTGTTTGGCATTCAACAATAAGGGATAGAGCAACTTCGATCTGGCGCTGCTCAGTGGCTGCTGGGCTCACGATCAATTGGCAAAAAGATTTTCCATTTTCGGTTTTACTTAATAAAATTGGAGTGGACTTTAAAAGATTATTATTATTATTATTATTATTATCTTATTTTTCTTTGCATGAAATTGTCTTCTTCATCTATGGTCTATTGTATTAACTCCCTTTTATTTCTTGTGTCTTGTTAGGATGTGATGCTGAGCTTGGAGTTCCAACGTCAGTAGAGGCAATGCCGCATGGTGAGTATCAAACACATTTGATACAATTCAGAAAGGATAGTCTTGTTGCACATAATATAAACATATTGCAGTCGGTGACTCCATCATATTCAGTCCAACCCACAGCGTATTAAAGACTGAATTGAATATCAAGAGAGTCTTTTGTTTTATGGCATTGCAAATGATTATCATATTTGTCAGGAACATATTTTGAATTCAACAGTATGTAAGGTTAATGTATCTATTTTTTAAATGCTGTTATATAGTTATACTACGTAGAGCATACTAAATACTTGTCATTATCATTGTTTATTATGTAATATTATAATGATTAGTCTTAGAATTCTATGTGGAAAATGCCTTTTTGTAATTATTTGTTAATTATTATCATTATTATTTTCTTCTTTTTATTTGTTTCAGCTCATGGAGGAATGGTATCATCAACATGTCTTGTGAATGACATCCATACTATGGCAAACTTTGACAAAAATCAGGTATGCTATCAATGCTTATAAACTACAGTGAAACCTGTGTACAAAGACCAATGTCTGCAAGTGGTATTCTACACATTTCCCTTTAATACAGGTTAACATGATAAACACAGTTTAATTGGATGAATAATGCAGTATTCGTAAGCAGGAGGTGTTTATTTGCATTGAAATTAATAAATTTATGTGTAGTCAGTAAAAAAAAAATCATTCAGACTTGCATCACTGAATGTATGTGTACGCACGCTTAATTATTCTTTCTTTGTCTTGTACATGTGTAAAACATAAGTAGGGATATCATGCAAACCCCTTGCAAACCTATGTAAACATTTAACTGATTACCGGTAGCCATTGAGGTTAAAGAGTAACTGGTCAAGGTAATTTGTATAATAGGTAAACTTTATCTCTACATCTATTCATGAATGAATATCAGTTGTGAGCATCAACTGTTTGACTCTCCTGAACTTTTGAACATAAAACGATTGTAGGAAACACAGAAAGAAATGGAATGATATAGCTTTTCATGAACACCTTCATGACAAGCAGTGCATATGAATCTATGATACTCAGTAAAATATGCGCCATAGTTCACACAGCTTTACGTGTGATCAAACATTATAGTGATTGGCTGAGTGTACATTTTAACAATGATTATCATTTGAGAATCAATGTAAAATGGGCGTGTCGAGGCGTACAACCTAAACAAAGACACAGTTTTCAGAATACCAATGTAGAGGTATATGTTTTTCAGAACACCGCCCCCAGACTGCCACATTGTTTGGAGTTTGAAGTTCAATACATGTTGTATATGTGGAAAAAGTTTACTGTTGTAGGCCAATGTTTGTTCCTATCAAACAAACCAGGCATAAAGTTAACTCTGTAATGGGAAATGATGTGGTGAACTGCCGCAAAACAAACGCAGCTTTTAAAGAAGTATATGAATGGCAGCTGTGCGCAACATAGGTCCTGCGGGTATTCACTGAGCTCTGTGTTATAAGATAAAGAGATTTGACGCGTATTACACTTTCCGTCAACTTTTTTTTTATGAAGCCTATCTGTACAGGTTTGGCCAGGAGGGATTAGACCTCCCTGCATGGTCACTGACAGGTGGATATCTCATCAAATCAGCTCCGTCTCAATTAACATAAGAAAACAAGGATTGTAGGGGACTTACGGCCACCGCTTAGGCATTGTTTGCTATATAGAGGGCGCAAGTAGCTATATAGTGCAGTGGGGCTTTAAAGGGTTTTGCCACGTCATATCTGAGCGAGGCCTTTTAAACTGAACAGTGTTTCTATGTATAGTAACATTGCCTTGTTCTTGTTATGTTTAGGGATCAAGATGATAAGATAAATGTCATGGATGAGAGATAAATGTGTACATTATATGTGATGCATACATGGAGCTGATCTTGAAGGTCTAAATTAGCTAATTACTATTTAACATTTGTTGGGCTAATACAGAAATCAATTTAGTGCGTTAAATATGATAACCAAGAAGAACAAACAAAAATTGTTGATGTAAATGAGAGGATATTTTAATGTAATTTATTGATTATGTGTGTCGGACCAAAAGACAGCAAAATAATTAAAACGGCCAAAAGATATCTCTTGTGATACCTAACAAGGAAGGATTTTTTGTTGAATAAAATGAATACTATATGTTTTAAAATATTTTAAGAATGATTTATGCAATTGCATCTACAATCACTTTCAATTTCAATTCAATTTCAATTTATTTTCCATCTTTAAAAAAAGAACAAATATAACATAGTATTGACACATTGTATTAAAATAACAATATAAACATAAACATGGAGGGATACCCTTAATAAGCAGGTTGCTTGTAGGCAGGGCCCCGGTATACAATATAAAATTTATAACTTTGTTACAGAAATATCTAAACATTTGAGAAAATTATAAAACAGCAAATTAAATATAAATTAGGAAATTGTGATCATCTTAACAGCTACTATAAATAGACAGATACAGGTACACGTCCACACACACACATACAAACACCCTAGCATGCACATACTAGCATACACACACACTTTCTCTTGAACATGTTACCAATGGTACTTTTATGAGACAATCCAACCTTGATACCAAATTGGCTTGAATTTGAGATGACATTTTAATGAAAAATGATTACCGGTAGGTGAAATAAAAAATAAAAATGGTAGAAAATGATGAAATCATGAATTATCATGATATCAGAAGAATAAAAGTGAATTGTGCTTGTCAAATGAGTGATTTTTTCTTCTAGGAATATTTATGTAATATCACTCATATATCATACCTGTACCTCTTTCGCTTGTCTGAATCTTTGACCTGCAAATGACGTACTATATTATCAACATTTGCCCGCTCATTTCAGTCCACTTGTCTTCCTATGGTTAAACCATAGAGAGAAGACTTAATTGAGCAGGATGCAAAGAACCAATGCATATATGATACAGACTCTGAAGTTATATATATGTTTTTTTCTATTTCACTTTCTCTTGTCTTATAGATAATTGAAGTATCTATACTTTTTAAAATTTTACTTAATTTATTGTTGTGTGCTTATAATATTTTGTATTTCTGTATAAATGGACGATCCAACTTTACAGGTTTTCGCAACCTTCGAAGCCCCCCATATAACCATTGTAAATATAGTTAAAATTTACTGTTACCTTGTATAATTTGATTTTATATTGCAAAATAAATTGAATTGAATTGAAATTGTTCTACTTATTTCTCATCACCTTGCAGTACACGGGCACCTGGTATGTGATATCTCATCTCCAGGGCGACATCTACCCCTACCATAGGATCTCACATTATACACTGGATGAACAGAACTCGTTCAGGATGCTCACACACAGAATAACAAGGTAGGCTAGCTTTGAAGTGTGATCGAGCTCCTAGCTGTAAGCACTCACTTAAGACACATTTATTCCAAATTGCTTTTGATGATTAACTTACTCTGTTCACATTGATGTATATTTCATATGAATTTTAATTTGTAGGTTTATTTGTAATTTTTGTTTTGTTTAATATGTAATTGTTTATCATTGTATTTTGTTTGTTATAGCGCTTAGAGACTTCAGTGGTAAGCGCTTCATAAGCACCGTTTTAATTATTATAATACTTTAGGTAAGGTTTGATTTTATGAATATTTCCTGAAACGGAACTGCAGAGACTGCAATTTTGGTTTGCCTGATATTTCAAATTCATTGTTTGGAACACCAAATTTTCCATGCTGGTTATGTTGGTTCCCCCCAAACTTTGAACAGAACAGTAATGAGACCTACCGTAGCCGAGGCTCAGTTCCTCAAATAAACAAATAGTATCTGGGATATTGAAATATGGCTCAGCCTTAATTGTAACACTGATGGTGCTACCAAATTTACAAATTAACGTGTAAAAAAAAAGTTGTTGTTGACACAAGTTTCTAGTCAGTATAGAGCCCTTTTTTCACCTTGATACAAACATTCTTTGTCCTTTCTTTATTTCCATCTCTTAGCCCTGGTGAATGCTCCACTGCTTGGAAGTTTGAAGGTCAGGCCTACAATCCTGACACTTCAGAAACTACCTCTAAGCTGGTCCTGAAACCTTTCGGCATGCCAGTGTACGGTGGTATGTACAAACCTGCAATCCTATTCATCATTGGGATTTGTGATTTAATTTGACTTGATTTTGATTTTGACTGAAATAGGTTTCATCACTTTTATTCCTTGATTTGAATGATAAAATCACTGATTCACACTGTATATATCTCAATATTATCTGTATTACATTTTCATTACTCGGCTAACACCAGAATATCTCATGGAATATTGTAAAACTTTGTAGAAAAATACAACTTATATGCAATTATTTGAAATTCATCAGAATTCGGTAATGTTGAAATGATCAACAAACCACTAAAGGATCTATAAATCATTAGGTTCAAATTGAAAACATCTCGGAGAGATATGAGACTTTGATAACATTTTTTACGGGAAAACATTATTATAGTTCATAAATGTTACATTCTGTTGCTGTCAAAGGAACATATATGTATGAAAGTATTTCCATGCATTTCCATTTTTTGAGAAATGTCAGTCATTTCTGACTAAGTTGCGTTTGACCGATACAGGATGAAAATTCATCTATTGTTCTTCATTCCTTTAGAGGACTACTGGGTGATCTACACGGACTACACCGACCACGCCCTGATCTACAGTTGCCGTGAGACGAACGAGGATGGGACCTGCAAGGGGGAGGCCTCTCATGCTTGGATGATGAGCCGTGACCCGACCTTGACCCCTGCCGCCAGGTCGCACATGGAGATGCTGCTGACGGAGATGTGTGTAGATGTTTCCCGGCTGGTCGATACACCTCATGGTATGTATACAGTGGTGTATCCAGGATTATATAATGGTGGGGTTACCCTACACTTAACTCTTTTACTTCAGTCTGTGGTTGACTTTCAGAAAATGGAACAGACTGTTTTAGTTAACTGTTGTTACACTAGATTCTGTAGTACATTACAAACCAAAGAATTTGGCAATACATGGATGAGCTCTCTGCAAATATAAAAATTAATACATTTATATGCATTATCAAGTACTTTTGACCAGTGTTGTGTATCTCTTTGTATTTTAATTTCTATTTTTATATGTGGTTGAAGTAATAAATTATTGATATGATATTATTGTAAATATGTTATGTCGTTGAGTTTTATTTTCAATTAAAAAAAAAATACAATTAAAAAAAAAAAATGAATAAGTACATATTTATTGGAGTTGGCATACATTTCATTGGTATTTGATTATAATGTATCATGTTTGTTCCTGTTATTTTTCTCAACCTCAGAATGTGATGAACTTCTTGGACCTGAGAGCCTTATTGACCAAGGTAGGATTATTGCTCCTCTACATGTGTTTCTATGGAGGAATGTCCTCAAAGTCCTATCACTCTAGAACATCAATTCTTGTCTTCTGCTCAGTAGATATTTCTTGAATCAATGGTCACTCACCAAGTGACTCCAAATAGTTAAACTATCTGTTATAAAGAATGCCATAGATCTATATTGTTCTTTGGGGGGACATAAACATATTTTGATAGCTTACATTATAAAGAGACTGTTTGGATGCTGAGTTGTGATATGAGTACAGGCGCGTACACAGGGGGGGGGGGGGGGGGGGGGGGGGTTTGGGGGGTTAAACCCCCCCTTTGGTAATTTTATGTGTGTAAACCCCCCCTAAATTTCGCTAAAACCCCCCCCCCCCTTTTTTTTTTTTAATTTTTTTTTTTTTTTTTAATTAAAAAAAAAATTTAAAAAAAATAAAATATATATATTCCCATGGTTGACCTAAAAAAGCTGACCTTACCCCCCCCCAACGGAGCAAAATGTCAAATTTTCAGATTTCAAGACCCCCCCCCCAAAAAAAAATGTGTCCTCTTACCCCCCCCCCCCCCCCCCCCCCCCTGAAAAAATCCTGCATACGCGCCTCTATGAGTAAGTTGTCTAAACAAAATATTTACCAAGACTGAATAAACCTTTTAAAAGCTTTACACTTTAAATGTGGAAAGCCGTATTTTTATGCCTCCGCCACCGAAGGTGGTGCCGGAGGCATCATGTTTTCGGGTTGTCCGTCCGTACGTCCGTCCCGTTTGACCGTTATCACAATATCTCAAGAACCATTTAAGATTTAAACTTAAGACTCGGGAATAGTATTTATCACCATAGGAAGACGATCTGATTAGATTTTGGAGTACGTAGGTCAAAGGTCACAGGTCACAGAGGTCAACTTATGAAATTCCTTGTATTGAGTTTGTTAGCGCGATATCTCAAGAACCATTTGAGATTTAAACTTCAAACTTAAGGATAGTATGTATCACCATAGGAAGACGATCTGATTAGATTTTGGAGCACGTAAGTCAAAGGTCAAGGGTCACAGAGGTCAACTTATGAAATTCCATACATTGAGATTGTTATCATGATATCTCAAGAACCACTGGAGATTTAAACTCCAAACTTGTTTAAATTGCTCTATGGCGGAGGCATCATTTTCGACTGCCCGCAGTCAAAATTCCATCTAGTTTTTAATAGGTTCGGTTCCCCATAATGAATGTCCATACATGCCATTAGATGGATCCTGACCCCCATATCCCTTTGAAAGGGGCGTACGGGCAAATATTGTAAAAATTTGAATTATCACAACTTTTGGGCCGAAAATATAAGGGCCGGGGTGGTACAGCATTTTGGAGAAATTTTTTTATTTTTTAAATAGGCTAGTTTCCTCAAAATGAAATGTACATACATGCCATTAGATGGATCCTGACCCCCATATACCTTTGAAAGGGGCGTAGTGGTAAATATTGAAAAATTTGAATTATCAAACCTTTCGGGCCAAAACGGTAAGGGCCGGGGTGGTTCAGCATTTTGGAGGAAAATATTTTTTTTTTTTAGTAGGCTAGTTTCCCCACAATGAATGTATATACATGCCATTAGATGTATCCTGAACCCCATATCCCTTTGAAAGGGGGGTAGGGGCAAATATTGTAAAAATTTGACTTATCACAACTTTCGGGCCGAAATAGTAAGGGCCGGGGTGGTTCAGCATTTTGGAGGAAAATTTTTATTTTTTGAATAGGCTAGTTTCCTCATAATGAATGTACATACATGTAATTACATGGATTCTAACGCCTATATCCCTTTTAAAGGGGGGTAGTGGCAAATATTGTAAAAATTTGAATTATCACAACTTTCAGGCCGAAATTGTAAGGGCCGGGGTGGTTCAGCATTTTTGAGGAAAAAATTATATTTTTTGATTAGGCTAGTTTCCCCACAATGAATGTACATACATGCCATTAGATGGATCCTGACCCCCATATCCCTTTGAAAGGGGCGTAGGGGCAAATATTGTAAAAATTTGAATTATCACAACTTTCGTGCCGAAATTGTAAGGGCCGGGGTGGTTCAGCATTTTGGAGGAAAATATTATATTTTTTGAATAGGCTAGTTTCCCCACAATGAATGTACATACATGCCATTAGATGGATCCTGACCCCCATATCCCTTTGAAAGGGGCGTAGGGGCAAATATTGTAATAATTTGAATTATCACAACTTTCGGGCCGAAATTAGAAGGTCCGGGGTGGTTCAGCATTTTGGAGGAAATTTTTTTTTTTTTTAATAGGTTAGTTTCCCCACAATGAATGTCCATACATGCCATTAGATGGATCCTGACCCCCATATCACTTTGAAAGGGGCGTAGGGGCAAATATTGTGATAATTTGAATAAACACCAATTTCAGGCCGAAATGGTAAGGGCCGGGGTGGTTCAGCATTTTGGAGGAAAATATTGTATTTTTTGAATAGGCTAGTTTCCCCACAATGAATGTACATACATGCCATTAAATAGATGTTGACCCCCATATCCCTTTGAAAGGGGCGTAGGGCCAAATATTGTAAAAATTTGAATTATCACATTTTTTGGGCCGAAATTGGAAGGGCCGGGGTGGTTCAGCATTTTGGAGGAAAATATTATATTTTTTGAATAGGCTAGTTTCCCCACAATGAATGTACATACATGCCATTAGATGGATCCTGACCCCCATATCCCTTTGAAAGGGGCGTAGGGGCAAATATTGTAAACATTTGAATTATCACAACTTTCGTGCCGAAATTGTAAGGGCCGGGGTGGTTCAGCATTTTGGAGGAAAATATTATATTTTTTGAATAGGCTAGTTTCCCCACAATGAATATACATACATGCCATTAAATAGATGTTGACCCCCATATCCCTTTGAAAGGGGCGTAGGGCCAAATATTGTAAAAATTTGAATTATCACATTTTTCGGGCCGAAATTGGAAGGGCCGGGGTGGTTCAGCATTTTGGAGGAAAATATTATATTTTTTTAATAGGCTAGTTTCCCCACAATGAATGTACATACATGCCATTAGATGGATCCTGACCCCCATATCCCTTTGAAAGGGGCGTAGGGGCAAATATTGTAAACATTTGAATTATCACAACTTTCGTGCCGAAATTGTAAGGGCCGGGGTGGTTCAGCATTTTGGAGGAAAATATTATATTTTTTGAATAGGCTAGTTTCCCCACAATGAATATACATACATGCCATTAAATAGATGTTGACCCCCATATCCCTTTGAAAGGGGCGTAGGGGCAAATATTGTAATAATTTGAATTATCACAACTTTCGGGCCGAAATTAAAAGGTCCGGGGTGGTTCAGCATTTTGGAGGAAAATATTATATTTTTTGAATAGGCTAGTTTCCTCATAATGAATGTACATACATGTAATTACATGGATTCTAACCCCCATATCCCTTTGAAAGGGGCGTAGCATACCTGCCAACCACCCCGATTTAGGCGGAGTTTCTCCGCTTTTTACATACCAACTCCGAATTCCGATTGCATGCCTCAAAACTCCGATTTTTTTTTGATTTTTTAATTTTTTTTTTTTTTTTTTTTTTTTTTTAATTTTTTTTTTTTTTTTTTTTTTTTTAATTTTTTTTTTTAGAGTGTAATGCACTTGGAGAGTATCTAACTATTATGTTTGTATTTTGAAATGTAAAGCGCCTTGAGCATGTTCATGTAAAGGTGCTCAATAAATACCAATATGTATGTATGTATGTATAAGACTAAAGCATAACACAGCACTGATAACCAGATCACGCCGACATCTGCGCTCGTGCTCATAGAAGATGTACACAGCGCAGCCCGAACGTGATCGTTAGTTCCGCAGTCACCCCCTGTGTACCCCCCCCCCCCCAATCTACGGGCTACTACCCCAATCCTTCGGTGGTTCGCGACCTCGTAGTCCATCCAGAAAAATTTACTCCTAATTTCTCTTGTCTCAGGTTGGCAGGTATGGCGTAGGGGCAAATATTGTAAAAATTTGAATTATCACAACTTTCGGGCCGAAATTGTAAGGGCCGGGGTGGTTCAGCATTTTCGAGGAAAAAATTATATTTTTTGATTAGGCTAGTTTCCCCACAATGAATGTACATACATGCCATTAGATGGATCCTGACCCCCATATCCCTTTGAAAGGGGCGTAGGGGCAAATATTGTGATAATTTGAATAAACACCAATTTCAGGCCGAAATGGTAAGGGCCGGGGTGGTTCAGCATTTTGGAGGAAAATATTGTATTTTTTGAATAGGCTAGTTTCCCCACAATGAATGTACATACATGCCATTAAATAGATGTTGACCCCCATAGCCCCTTTGAAAGGGGCGTAGGGCCAAATATTGTAAAAATTTGAATTATCACATTTTTCGGGCCGAAATTGGAAGGGCCGGGGTGGTTAAGCATTTTGGAGGAAAATATTATATTTTTTGAATAGGCTAGTTTCCCCACAATGAATGTACATACATGCCATTAGATGGATCCTGACCCCCATATCCCTTTGAAAGGGGCGTAGGGGCAAATATTGTAAACATTTGAATTATCACAACTTTCGTGCCGAAATTGTAAGGGCCGGGGTGGTTCAGCATTTTGGAGGAAAATATTATATTTTTTGAATAGGCTAGTTTCCCCACAATGAATATACATACATGCCATTAAATAGATGTTGACCCCCATATCCCTTTGAAAGGGGCGTAGGGGCAAATATTGTAATAATTTGAATTATCACAACTTTCGGCCGAAATTAAAAGGTCCGGGGTGGTTCAGCATTTTGGAGGAAAATTTTTATTTTTTGAATAGGCTAGTTTCCTCATTATGAATGTACATACATGTAATTACATGGATTCTAACGCCTATATCCCTTTTAAAGGGGGGTAGTGGCAAATATTGTAAAAATTTGAATTATCACAACTTTCAGGCCGAAATTGTAAGGGCCGGGGTGGTTCAGCATTTTCGAGGAAAAAATTATATTTTTT